GCTGGGAAGTTTTGAGAAACATAGCAAGATGATCAGCAGTTTTATTTGGGACATGAAGGTTTCTTTGACTCTCCTCTTGAAGTAATAATGAGTATACTTTAGAAAGTGAGGGAAGAAGAGATGTCAGTAAAAAATGGCTTCTCAGAGAGGAGAAGGAGTCATTGAGACCAATAAGGAATTTCATAACAGAATCAGACTGTTGAGCAGCAGACATAACATCAAAAATGTTGCAAGTGCAGGAATTACAGGCACCACAAGTACAACGAATAACAGGCCGATAGGTAACATATTCATCCCATAGAGATTTGAAAGCATTATAGTACTGTGTCACAGATAAGGAGCCTTGGTCCATAGAACTTAGGGATTTTTCAAGTTGGAAAACCCTAGGACCACTACTCAAAGCATAACGAGATTTTATCTCATCCCAAACATCTTTAGCAACAATAAAAAACAATAAGGACTGACGGATGTCTTTAGACACAGAATTAAGCAACCAAGACAATACCAGATTATTAGCCATGACCCATGCAAGAGATTCAGCGGGAGACTGAGTAAGAGAAGGGACAGAGACGGTACCATCTATGAAACCAGCTTTATTCTTAACACTGAGAGCCATGAGTACTGCTCGGGACCAGGAAACATAATTTTCTCCATTAAACACCTCTGCAACGATTAGTGCACCCGGATTATTGCTCGGATGAAGAAAAAACGGCGATGACGGATCGTCGGTCGGTGGTGTGATAGTAGCCATGAGAATCGATAAAGAAAATAGTGTATAATATCGATCTGGAACAAAGTAGCTCAAATCGGAAGTTTTGAAAACACAGATCTAGGGTTACAAGGACCAGATCTGTAAGCTCAAAACATCGATCGAGAGAAAATAGTAAGCAGCGGAAGTATATCAGTAAAGGATCGAAAACTACTCAGCGATTGATACCATAATATGATTTATTGAACAAGGTGTTCATATGAAATCAGATGGAAACTAGAGAGCGAGAAAGCGAGAGAAAATGAAAATACATCTTATTGATCTGATTAAATCGAGAAAGTGAAAGTGAGTACAGTAAACCCTAACACATCCTTATATATGGCAAATATAAAACCTAATGGGCTGATACAATGTATTACATCAAATGGGCCTAATACAAAACTAATATTAAGAAACCCAAGTACATGAATATTAAACTGATATTAATAAGCCCAAATGTATGGTTGTTAATAATTTAAGTTATTCAAGTATTTTATAATTTTTAGACTTTTCAAAAGCACAACAAAGACCAAAAGAATGAATATAGATTAAATGAAATAAAAATGTCCAATGTAGCCAATGTTTTGTTATAATAAGCCAAGTCAACTCGTAATTTGGGTTTTTTGTATCTTTAAAGTGAGTTGAACTCGAGTCTGATTCATTAACTAAACAAACTCGAGTTTAAATTATTTACTAAACGAGCTGAGCTCACGAGTCACGAGAGACTCGTTTTAATTAATAGCTCTTGTCATAACAAAACGATCCCGTACAAAAATCTAAATACAAACTTTATATCACCACAAAATAGTCGATCCCATATAATTGATCGTGCCCACCAAATTATTTTAGCTTCGTTACGTACAATCTTAGATTGACTTTTTTTTTTTTTTTTTTT